TGTAATCTGACCTGTACTTTAGCCAGAACCCTTGCGATTCCTGGGCTGAGAACCAATCAGAACGGGGACAAGAACGGAAGCAGGACTAGTTAGGTATGGCTGCATTCATGATGACATCAATCAAAGTAGTAGCAGTACAGGGGGGAAAGACAGTTCTGAATACACCATGAATTCAGAGGCAAAATGATTTTCTGGTAGAAGGATATGGAGTGTGAGAAGAGAGGAGTCAACAATGATTCTAAAAATTATGGTCTAAATTATTTATCCCCTTGGGGGGCAGGGATAGCACCAAATGGTTCCAGACTGTGGTACTTCTGCTATTTGCTTGTATGGTACTATACTTCCTTTAAAGCTTTGACTGTTGCTGCTTAATGAATTGTCTATCTTTCCTGATAAACTAAGGATAGTTTACATATCACGCCAAAGGGTCTTATTAATAATAAAACAACAAGAACTAATGCAATTTATTGCTTACATCTCCTCAGAATTCAAAGTGTCCAGTTGACAATATAAACAATAAGATTCTGTGTTAAGAAGGAAGGTCGGCAGGATTCGGCAGTCTAGCAATGTACCAGCCGCTGGTTTGAGTTAGGTGGAAAAGCGGGGTGGAATTCAAGTAGAAGTTACTATAAGTCTTAAAGCTAAAGACACAGAACCAAAGCAGAAGCTTAGTCCTAAAAAAATTAGCATTAAGGCTTGCCATTAACACATGGCACTCCAAGTTTGGCTAGCAATAGAAATATAACGGGAATATATTCGGGAGTCCATTAGCATGTTTAGAAAATTAAGCCTGTTTAGCATCACCACGCCTAAAACTGGGTGATAGTCATAAAGATCTCTTGACTTAGAATGAACTCATGAGCTGGGTTGGATCAAAAATTGCAGGTGTAGAGTCAAACGATCCAGCTATGAGACACAGAAAATACTACAGAAACCAGGACAGATGTTGACAATGAAACATTTACAAACTCAGTAGAGAACATACTAGAGTTTAGAATGATCATCAATCACAGAAGAATCAGAATATATTGCTATAAGGGTTATACGGCAGGCCAAGGGAAAAGCAAAGAATGGAAATTAGGGACCAAGAAAATTCCCAGAAGATGTTACTTCTGAAGAAAAGGCAGAAACATGTGAGACTAGGAAAAAGAATTCTAAGTTCACAATAGGAAATAATCTGTCTAGCCAATTTATTTGTTAATTATTTTGTGCATCCATTCAGCAGACAGTACACTAGGTATTGGAAATATAATGGATTTTTTTTTTAAAGATCCTTAGCTCTAAAGGATCCTAAAAGACCAGAGAGTGACTGCCAGGCTGCCTGCAAGACTCTCTTTGGCTGAGATTCCTTGGATACCTAGGGGTTCTTTAGCTCTTCCTCTAGCTTTTGGAGGGATGTCTTCAACCTTACGACATCGAGTAGATTTAAGACTCTTTCTATATTGCAACCAAAATGATCCCTTTAAAACATAATCTGACTTCCCTCCTTAATCCTGCTAGGTCACAATTCCTTAACACGATATCAGGATTGGGCCCTTCCTGCCTCCAGCCTAATCTCTGAACACTCCTCCTTCTCGCAATCTATGCTTTGCTTTTAGTTACTTGAAAACACAACGCTTGGTCTTAGCTCTGGCCTTTTTTCTGTCCAGCGCATTCCTTCCCCTCCTCCTCATTTGGTTTATTCCTACTAAGCTCTCAGCTCAGGCGTCCCTTCCCTGACCCCTCTGGGTTGAGTTCTCTGGCTCTTTGCTACAATGACAGCACTCTTCACTCTTGGTCACTCTTATTGTCGCTGTTAATTCACTTCTGTCTTTTCTAATAAATTGTAAGCATAGTTTGCGGGGGGGGAGACAAGATGCAAGTCTATTTTGTTTACTACTGTATATTCAGCAACCTCACACAGTGTTTGGCACCAGGAAAGTTAGTCACATTTATTGATTTTTTTTTTTTTTTTTTGAAACAGGGTCTCATATGTTACCCAGGCACAAACCATTGTACCCAGCTTACTTTTAAATATATATATTTCTTTTTTTCCCCCCTAAAACAAATAAATGCAAGAAATGTAAACTCTGTGAGGCAGGAACTCTATGTACTAACCCTGACACCTAAAGTACTTCACACAGGACTAGAAAAAAGCTACTTAGGATATTTTTGACTGAATGAATTCATAAATGAATGCCACCCCTGTCTTCATCGGTCTTGTCTTATTTGCACAAAACCCCTGTAATAAACCGGCACTACATATGACACCCTCAGTGGTGTCTTCTCTTTCTTCATATGCTAAGGCCCAAAATGCAAGGCTCTGAAATCTTGAACTGTGGCTGGATCTGGGCCCAACCTGTTGTGTACTTGTTTGGACAGAGTCTGATCATTTTACTTAAGAATCCACAGCTGCCATTTTCACAGATCCTTGCCAAGAGTTCTTCTAATTCTCCCTGCCTACCAGGTTTCCACCCCTTTGCTCTCCAACTAGGTAGCTATATTGTTGTCTAGGCCCCTCTGGATACATGTCTGTGAAACAGAGAAGGCAGACATGAAAACAAGGGACCTACCAGGCCCCTGGATAGATGGAAAGAAAATCCCAAACATTAGAAGTTCCCTCGAAGCCAGGCTCGGTGGCTCAGCCTGTAATCCCGTGCCTTTGGGAGGCTGCGGTGAGTGGATTCCCTGAGCCCGAGGGGTTCGAGACATGCCTGGGCAGCAAGACCTCATCTCTACAATAAATTTTAAAAAAAATCAGCTGGGCAT